ATACTTAAATCCTGAGTCAATCTCTCTCTCTCTCTCTCTCTCTCTCTCTCTCTCTCTCTCTCTGTCACACACACACACACACACACACACACACACACACACACACACAGAACATTTTAACAAGTATACCAACCAAATCAGATAAAAGAGGTCAACAACTGGTAGGTGGAATTCCATTCTATGCCAGGAGACCAGGCAGCAGAAAAGTGAGACCATCAGTCATCAACATTCAAAGACACGGAGGAAAACAACACGCCCAGAAAAGAGAATCATGCCCGCTCTGTCAGGACTGCAGTGTACTGGGCCATGAGCCACACACCGGAAGCATCTGCCCGAGGTTTCAGACAGCTGTGCTCTGGCTGCCATTTGCTCAGCTGTTCTGAAGTGAGAACGACTCATATTCCCAGGGCTCTCCAAGAAGACCTTTTTTCCAATTCAGAGAATGTGATTAGAATACAAATTCTTTTTATTAGTTTTGATTTTTGTTACTCTGAAGATACATTTATTTGAATGAATTCATCCACTGTTCACTTTTTTTGTCACTAATGGAAGTAAGTGGAATATATTATCCTACATTTAAAAATAGGTAATGCTAAAAGAAATGAAAAGAAATCACATTTTCTACCTAAGAGCAGGGCTGCTGCTTAGAGAAATAGGGGCCTATTCACCTGGCAAATGAAAATGTCTTGAATATAATTTGTCAAAATGCTATCGCTCTCCTTCCTTACTTGCATGTGAACATCACAATTTCAAGGAAAATTACTTAATGGTGAAATCTCAGAAGGTAGCAAAGCCAGCTCGCCTAGTATATATGAACACAGTTATTATGTTCTGGAAATTAACTCACTGGATTTGTTAAAGATATGGACTGTTCCCTTTTACCAGAAGAAGGAGAAAATATATATATAAAGGCTTTTCTTAAGTGATCTTTGTTGCTTTCCACATTTTTTAAACAAAGTCTCAGTGGGTAGAAGCCAATTATATTAGTTACCTTGGGTAACAACCTATTAATTTTGTGCTTCAGAGTTATTAGCCACCTTCCCATATACAATTCTCAGGCAAATGAAGGGATTTAATCCCTGTATTACCAAACACCCCAAACAATCCAGGGTTTCATGATTCTAACAGATCATTGCCTTGAGTCCAGACACAACTACCACTTTAGAAAAGAATCTCTGGCAGACTTAATCTTGACTTAATAGTCATTCTTCTTCACACCAGATTAAAAGGTTACCAGGGAAAAGCATTTTCCCCCAGTGATTCAACTGTATTGAGTCTATAAAATTTCCCCTTTGAAGAATCGCACAATTCCTAAGAGAGTTCACATGTTTAGTATGTGATATACAGCTAATATTTTGCCAATTTAAACCATTCAGTGGAGAGAATAAAATATTTAAGATGATAACATTTAATGTCAAAAGAAGTCTTTAGATTTCCTTAGTTTGGTTGTGTCTAACTCTTCAGGGCAACGTGTAAATTATTTAATTCTAAAGCAGCAATTTTATTTAAATGATGATCTTATAACTCTCAATTATCAAAGCACTACACATGTAAAACCACACTAAATGAGTTACTGCCCTCAGTCAAGATGCTTATCTACATTTAAAAGTGTCTGTACTCTAACAAGAATGAACAGTAGTTTAGTATCAATAATCCCTTAAGAAATTTATAATGAGTTATTTCTTTGGTTTATTAAGAGCCAATAATTGCTTAAAAGTCTCTGACTACCCATAAAATGAGGAAACTATAGTATTAACATAAAATTAAGAATAGTAAAATCCCCATACAAGAAGCAATCCTCCAAGATGCTACTCGTTAGGAATTACTTACATTGTGTAAATATTTCAAATGAAAACTCTGATTAAGTATACTATGTCAACACATTATGCTTCATTAAACTCATTTTTTTGGTTTTATTACAAAATAATGTAACACATTTATGTAACTATTTAATTCCTTTTAAGCTCATCTTGAAATAATGTACAAGTAAAGGTACTTCTTTCTATATGATTCTTCTTAAAGCTTTCTTATTTGAATTACAAGGAAAAGTAATTATTTTAGTATCAAATCAGAAGTTTGATGTTATATAATTATTCTTCAGTAACTATCAGAGTAAAAAAAAAGATAGGTGAGTGGAATATAAAATTTAGGAAATTATTCTCAAATTACAAGTCAGTGCTAATATTATTATACTTGAGCTTTAGATAAATTACAAAGATAAATATTTGGGGATATACTTGAGCATGGAATCTATATGAAGAAAACTACAGTTAATTCAATTTCCCTGTTCCATTTTTTCTAATTATAAAATTTATAGCAAAGTTAATCATATTGTTAAGTAAACATTTGTGGCAAAGATATTTAAAATAACTAAATGAAAACACAGGTTTGAGTAGGAAAAAGGAAAAGAAAATGTGAAAACTACACTTATGCCAGGCATGGTGGCAGACACCTGTAATCCTAATACTTGAGGGGGCTGAGGCAGTAGGATCACCATGAGTTGAGGTCAGTCTGCCTTACAGTAAGTTCAAGACCAATCTGAACTACAAGTCTCAAAAAAACAAACAAAAAAACTACCCGCATATTAAGTGCTACAAAGTCTGAATAATTTTTTTTTTCCATCGGTACTGGGGATTGAACTCAGGACCATGTGTTAGCATGGCAGGTGCTTATGCTGCTGAGCTAAACCCTCGGCCTTGAATAATTTTTTTATACATGGGAAAACTCAGTTTTAAATCACTTGTTCCTAATGATCTACCAACCAAATGTAATCCAATAAAGAAAATAAATACTTTTGAAGAGAAAGTGTATCATGTATTCAAATGAAGGTAAAGATGTACAGTTGGTACATTTATGAGAATCAAACTGAACTAAATTAAGGACTTTCAATTCTAATAATTATTCTTAATATAGGACAGATTACTATGGGTGTCTTGGGCAGCACTTTATTATAGAAAAACGCTGTAAATAAGCTATCAGTATTGTGCTAGTTAAGCAGAGAATGTCTCACCCACACAATGAAACACCTCCATGTCAGTATAAATGATGACAAGCTTCTGAATGTATTTTTCAATGAAAAATGTTCATTATACATTGCTAAGTGAAAATAGCAAGTTATAAATTGTACACATGAAAGTTATGATTCAGTTTTTAAAACATATACAGAAAAAAATCTATGGAAACTGATAGCAAAATGCCAAATGTGGTCTTCTCTGAATAATAAGATGGACAATGGTTTTTTTAGTTTATACTTTTTGACAATGTGGGACTTTTTCACTATAAAATTACTTTATAGTAATAAGGAATCATGTAAACATCTGTGTGGGAATTTATGAGTATCAATACAATAAAATGGAAAGGAAATGGACAAACATAGCTTCTGGGAGAAAAAGAAATCAACAGCACAACTCTTGAAGAGGATTGCTACGTTAAAGGCTCTTCCACTTGTCCATCTGCTGTTGAGGTACAGTGGTCAATTGCACAGTGGGCCTTATAGGAAGAAGCCATGCGTGCTTTAATTTCTCTGTTTCCTCTTTTTCTTACCATTTTATTAACATCAAGAGAACACAACAGTGAAGAAGTCTCAATTCATATCATTATATCCTCCTGCAGTTCTACACTCAGTGTGAAAGTCACTCTTTAATGTATCTGCAACACTAAAATGGTTGATAACTCAGTAAGTATTCAATAAGTACATCTCTTGATGCAGGCCATCCTAAAAATCTGCCTCAGTGATTTCTTATGGGAGTTTTATTAAAGAAAGTAAAAGCACAGTGATGTGAACCATTTTCAATGTATTTAGTCTGGCTTCTTTTAATAAAATCTTTAATTTGTCTACCTCTGGTTTCATATTTAAATAATACGTGTATGTGATTACTAGCTAACATGAAAAGCCTACTGAATAAGTTGATTTGACATAAAAACCATGTAATGAAAATAACAAATCTTACTTCTGACATATTTATTGTATGCCAAGCATTGCGAAAGCACCCTGTGTAGTAAGTGAGGGATTCTTCAAGGCAGCCATTGTGGTGCGTGCTATTATCAGCCTGCATTTCAGAGGGCTGCAAAGTCCCTTGCCTAAAATCATTAGGCTAAAAAGCAACATAAACCCCGATAATCTGGTTCCAGAATAATAATTGTATATAGATTAAAAAACATCTCCCTTTTAATTTTAGAATAGTTTGAGATTTATAGATGTCACAGAAAAAAAATAGTATGGAGTTCACGTATACATCTTAAGTTTTCCCTTCAAGAAAGTCTTCCATTATGTGATACTTGGGACAGGACAAGGACCTCGCCTATTTGTATGTTGATAATTAACTAAACATCATGCCTTCTTCTCCAAGTTGTGACAGTTTTTGATGACCTTGACACTTTCGAGGAAAACAAGACAGGTACAGTATAGAATGTCCCAAAATTTGATTTTGTGTAATGTGCCTGCATAGACTGGGCTTATCTTTTTGAGAGGAGAAACTCCAAGGCAAAGTGCTGTTTTCAAAACATCATCTCAAGTCCAGGCCACAGCCATGGCTCATCACCAATGATGCTGCTCTAGAGGGCCCAGGGGCAGGAACTGTCTGCCCACCTCTGCACTGTCAGGCTTCTCTCCCTCTCTATACCCTGCACTGCCCACGCTGTAGATGAGGAAGACAGTTAAAATCACAGCCTACTGTCAGGGACTGAAGGGTGGGGAGGGACAGGGGGTTAAACTCTCCCACTTCAGGGACTGGGTGTCTAGAGTTCTTCAGAACTGTTCTAAGCAGTCGTTTTAATCCATTCCTCTCTATCCACCTTATTCTTTCTCCCAAATTTGGTACATTATTCATGTATGATATTTTAAAAACACAACTCTCAAGTAATTTCCTGCTTTTCAAAGGTCCACAAAATGTGCTAAAACTAAATGTGACAACAAATGAAACCATTTCAAAATATCTTCCACTGATCGCTGCAGAATTTTTCACTATTTAGAAACCAGTTTCTCTGGTGCAAGATCTTACCAGAAATATTCGTTCAAGTTGATCTTGAATGTCTTTCATTCCTGGAAAAGCAGCAACACCTTGTATCATCTCAACAAAGATGCAGCCAACTCCCCTGGAGAGAGAAGAAAGAGCCATTACGCAAGCTTCAATCTATTCTCCTTAGAAAACTAAATCTGAGATAACACTCTCCCCTTGAAAGAGAAGAAAAAATGAATCAATAATTCTCTTCAATGAGTGAAAAGGGGTATGTGACAAACTTCAACCACAGCTTTCCTTCCCGGTCTATTGCCCTGAAAGAATACTGAAAAAAATGCAGCCTTACTGGTTCAAAACACAGTGGAAACCAACAAATTAGCAGATTTGGTAGATTCTTCTTGTAAGATGCATTTGAAAAAGCCCTTAGTCCACTTATGCTGTAGTATTCTTCTGCAAATGTATTTCACAAATGCATAGTGTACTGTAGCCTATAGCTATCCCGTGGTTCTCAATTCAGTTTCATCAGTAGCATCCAGGGAACTTTTAAAAACCACAAATGCTCAGGCCACAAACTCGAGATAATTTCTACGCTCACTGACATGCGCTGCTTTAGCTACTCTGAGGACTGCTGAGCAGACTAATTTAGTGCTCCATGTTAACCTGCTTGGTGTAAATGGCTTCCCTCTCCGATACGTCCTACTTCTTTCCAGCTCAACCTCTATACTCCTGAAGTTCAAGTGTCATCTCCTTCATGACGGCTTCCATGAACCTTCCAGAAAACAGCACCCCTTATAAACTTCTGATTAAGCCCTTAATATATCAGCCTCATCGTCTACCTTAATCTGCCACACCCATAGCTCCTATGAGGCAAGACAGTCCACTGTCTCAAAGGACCTGATTCTCAGAGGTCACAGCACCCTGTACCTCAACCTACAGGAACGTATCATCCACATTAGCAGAAATGCAACTGGATACTTCTGGTTGGACTCTGAAGAACAGGTCACTAGGGGCAGGATGATACGGAAGTACACAGGTAGATGGGATAAGGCACATCAGTGGCCATGAACTTGCACACACAGCCACATGTTCCAACAGGTGAAGTCGGTCCCTGTGCTGAGCTGGTTTCTGCTTTCTGAAAGCCTGGATGTTCAGAAAACCCAGTGAAATTTCCACTCCTTTTTCTGAGCAAATATTCAGATTTAAAAAAAAAGAATGATTATACTTCAAAAGGGTTTATGTTTCCTGCAACTATCCCAATAAAACCATGAACATATCAGAACATTTGTTCAATTGCTGCACTCATACTCAGTTGAGGGCAGGCAAGCCCTCATGCTTTTAGTGTGCATCAGAACCCCAGGAGGTAAATGACAAGTGACCTACTTTATTCATCTGCTCCACCTATTATCAAAGATATGTATAAGTAGTACTTTTAATTAAAGCAATATATTTATAGAATGACTTTCATAGTATACTGCATAACTTCTATTTCAATGCAAGTGTCAAAGTAACTAAAATTAAACAAATTCTACTTTGTGTCATAAAAATAAGTAAAAACAACTTAGTGTTAAGTTGTTCCAGACAGATGCATTTTAATACAAGTTTTCATTGTACATTTGACCGACAACATAGGTATGGATTTTATTGGTGTAATAAAATGCAATGACATTCTTATGAATATTGACATTTCAAGTGATTGAATTAAATCTATCTAAAGTATTAGTGTGGTGGTTTTCCAAATGTTTTCTGGGCAGGAATTCTTTTCTAAGACTACTGATCTACATTTCTATTGTCTCATTTGTTTCCATAAAATATCTTGGATCTTTAATATATCTCCCTCTCATATATATATAAACTTAGCACATACTCCCTTCTCTTCTCTAGCTCTTCCCTAGCTGTGATGCCGAGTGGGAAGACCCTCGGAAGGCCCATGGCCACCCCACTGCTCACAGCTAACTATTACACTGTTGGAACTGCATATAGAATTTCTTTTAATCAGTACTTGTCAGTTAATATCATCTCCAGATTACATATTTAGAATGATTAAAAGATCCATATGTGTTGCCATTTTATGCAGCTGAGATGAAACTGTGGTTTCTCTGTAGACTTTAATCTGCTTGGCTGGCTGAGGCAGTTGAACTTTCATTTCCAATGGATATTTCCTATGCTACCACCTTATGGCTATTTTTCATAATATATTTTACACACCTTAATCCTTTTTATATCTCACGCCCTGGCCACCCTCCTTCCTCTGGATGTCCTCTTTCTTAAAGATGCCTGGAGTATACTAATAAAGCTGAGAGAACGATTCTCAGAGAACACAAAGGAATTAAAATGTACAAGAAAATGAAAAAGTAGAATTATGAAACATATCACTAAATTAATATAGCAGAATTCTTTTATTACTGCCTCATTGCCAAGCAGCAGTGAAAGCTCTCTAAATTAGTATAAAGGGATCACTGGCTGCTTTTCTCTCTCCTGCTTTCTACCTTTAATTAGCCTTGTGTTCCCTCTCTCCTGATAGATTAAACTAACTGCACTGGGAGGTTTACTGAGAATGAATTCATCCACATAAACATTATACTTATGATATATAATCTTGTATCAAGAAATGTCTCATTTAGAGAAACTGAATCATTATGTAATTATCACATGCTCAGTCTAATTTCTTTAAGAATAAGAACTGGTCGTAGGTAAAGGTATCTTAGAATGCAGTGTGTTCAAGTTCTCAGGATTAGTCAACTGCTAATGTAATACATAACACATTCACTCATCATCAAACATCTTACAGCTTTTGGATTCAAAATATCCAAATTAAACTTATGTCACAGATCTATGAACAAATTTTATTATGATTCAAAATTAAATTTTAGCAGTAAAACAGAGACAAGTGTTCTTTCAGGCCTGAGCATCATATCTTCTGGGAATTTTTGTTATGAAAAAGAACACAACATAGAATAAAAATTAGATATAAAAGTGAATTTAGAATAAGAAAATAAATCAAAGAAAATTACAAGTTTTTAAAAAGCTAGCAAATACAATATTCTCAAGATCAGACAAATAAGTAAAGATAATTTTATCAATAACTGCCTAGCAAATCCAATGCTTTTGTTTCTGCAATTGTACAGTCTTTGTTATCCTCAGTACCTGAAAAGTCCCTTAAAGACCCACTGAAACCTTGGTCCCACTGCAGCAATGTTCAGAGGTTAGACTTTTGGAAGGTGATAAAATTACAAGACTCTACCCTGACAAGTAGATCTGTGCACTGATGGAGCCACAATTTGATGGCTTAAGATATATTCTGTACACGTATCAACTCACCATGACGAATGAACTCATTATGTACAACAAACATGGACCAATAAAAACTAAAAATACAACAGTAATTTGATGGTATCATGGGGAAGTGAGGGAAACTGAGGAGGTGGGGTCGAGCTGGAGAGAGTGGGTCCTAGAGGCCTGCCCTTGGGTGGTGGATATCTTGTACTCAGGTCCTGTCCTCTCAGGATCCTCCTTCTCTGGCTACAACGGGATGACTTCCTTTTGCCATCCCATTCCATTACGATGTTTCTGCCTCACCACAGACATAAAAGCAATGGGCCAGATTACTATGGACTGAAACCTCTAAATTCATGAGCCAAATTAATGTTAAGTTGTTCCATACAGATGGATTTTAATATACGTTTTCATTTTAGATTTGACCAACAATATAGGTATGGTATCTTCCTTGTTTCAAGTTGATTTTTTCAGGTATTTTGTAAGTCTTCAATGAATTCATAAAAATATTACACCTTTTCTTTTCTTTTCTTTTCTTTTCTTTTCTTTACTTTTTTGGTGTTGGGGGGTCAAATCCAGGGGCTGGTCTATGGTAAGCACCTGCTCTTTTTCTACATCCTAAGTTTGAGAATATTCTTTCCTATACAGAGAATATAAAGATAATTTAGACTGTCTTCTGGCACAGTAACATTGGTTTTTGTTGTGTTCCTAATAATTTAAATTTTTTTCAGCTCCATTTCTCCTTATAGGTAAGGTCACGTGAACTGCTATTATTGCTATCAATTTTGAGAAAACATCAGGCTACTTTCACATAGATATACATGCTATAAATACAGTTCTGAAACAGTCTGCCCCATAGTTCCACGATAAGATGCTAGAGGAGCATGAGAGGACACAGCTGGCTTAGAGTGGAGGCTCTAAAGGATTTGCTTGGACAGAAGGACTAGAACAGGTAGAAAAGGATTCTGGGGTGACGGAGTCTGGAGTGGCATTTGAGTGGCAATAGAGAAAACAGAGTCCAGTTAGAAAGAATCTTGAGACACAAATGCTGTTGTTACATTTCTGTGTGCAAAATAAAAGAAAAGTTTTAAAAGAACAGAAAACCATATTGCACGATAAGAAGCTGGTGTCCTTCCCTTAGGCCAGAGATTTCCATTTGTTTCTGTATCTCAGGACTCACAGAGGACATACTTGAGGCTCACACACTTTATGGTGAATAGGAAATGAAATGACTTTCAGACAAGAAATAATTATAACCACTAGTTAAAAAGCCACCTGTTCCTTCCCAGTAACAGAAGAACAGCAGAAATACACGAGAATAAGAGTTGTGCAAATTCTTACTCTGGGAGCAGGGTCAGCACATAATGACCCAGAGGCCCACAAACTGGCCTACAGGCAGACTCCCCGCTGCACCTGCTGCCTATATGCCTATTTTTATATGGTCTATGAGGTAAGCATGACTTACACATTTTTCCACAAATTTCTTTCAATTGACAGATATATATATATATATAGATAGATAGATAGATAGATATAGGTATATTTATATTTATCTATATGTTTGCTTATTGTGTAAAACATGTTTTAATGTGTATGCATGTAAAATAATAAAATCTAGAAATTAACATGTGTATTACCTCACATAGTTATCACTTTTGTGGTGAGAACAGCTAACACTGACTTTCTTAACATTTTTCAAGGATGCAACATGTTGTTATTAACTATAGTCACCATACTATACAATACAGCTCTTGAACTTACTACTACTTGTGAATTTGTATCTTTTGACCAACATCTCTTGGTTAAAAAGTTGAGTATTTGAACTTTAACATATTTTAACTGATAAATAGAAAATAATACATA